CTGAGTGAGGAGAGAGGTTGTCAGAGCTCAGGATCCAGCCAGAGCCCAAATAGCTACACTGCTATTTTATACCTGGTAGCACAAGCCTGAGTCAATTGACCTAAGCGCTGAGTCTTACTGCCATGGGGAGGTTTTTGCAGTGTGGGCATACTCTTATGTCTGCCAGCCTGCTTGAGAGGGGGTGGTTCTTAATTTACAACTAGGGAAGCTGAGGCCAGAGCAGTGGAGGCCAAGGTTTTCAGAAATGGTCACCGATTTTGGTAACCTTAATGTTTGGGTACATGGCTTGAAAGGCCGGCAGGCCTGATTTTCAGAGGGCCTCATGCTAGATACCAGCTATAGTTTGCGGGTTCCGTGAAGGTTCCGCATCTCCAAAACTGAAGTTGTAGTTGTCTGACATTGGGTGCTTAAAAATAAAAAGATGCAAAACCAGTGGCCACTTTTGGAAAACTGTTGACCTACAGGAGTTACCAGCATCACAGAGCGAGTTGGTGGCAGAATCAGCAGTGGGATGCAGGAATCTTGACCTCTATATCTATATGCCTTCTTTTACTGCTAGACATCAGTCTTTCTGTACTGCTCTCCTGAATTCCCTAGTCCCTACAGTGAGGTCACCAGACAGTATGGGTGGCATTGCAGCAACTTCTGTGGAATTTACTGTGATGTCACAGAGCCTCATTGTGATATTGTTGAAGAGGAGAAGGCTGATTGTAGGAAGCCGTTCCTGAGAATAAACCAGATAAGCCAGGGTGAACCCAGGGCTTATATAGGAGATGGCTGGTGAATTAGGGTACATCTACACTGCACGTCTTAACTCGAAATAAGCCATGCAAATTGAGTTACGTCAATTGTGTATTGTATTTTGAAATAGAGAGTGTCTACACAGCACTTATTTCGAAATAGAGCACTCTTCCTCCAACTTCCTTTGCCTCTCGTACAATGAGGGATACAGTAGTCAAAGTAAGAAGGCCTCCAGCTTGACAGTATTCAGACACAATTTCAAAATAACTACCTGCTATATAGACACAGACTGTGTTATTTTGGAATAGCACTGGTTATTTTGAAATAGTGTTGCAGTGTAGACATGCCAGTTTGAAAGCTTGCATGGGCTGGGAGCAGGACAGTGCAGGGGAATGAGAAAAAGGGTACTGGGAAGCCTTTAATAGCTGAAAGGAACCCTGGACATGTAGTAATAGCTAAATCAGATTGTTTAAGGAAAACAGTGGCTTTGAAACTTTTTGAGAAAAATATCAACTTTCTGTGTTAAATGACAATTTTTTGACATAACAATAACCTGAACACACACACACACACACACACACACACACACACACACACACACACACACACACAAATACCCTGAAATTCCACCATGGTGCCTCCTTACAGTTACAAGTTTGGATGTCTCATGCCTTTCCTCTCCTCTCTGGGCTGGGTTCACTGGCTGGAGTACCAGAAATCTTCTGTCTCTCTCCACCCCAAATACAAAACCAGGCAACTCTAATAAACTTCACAATAAAATATGCATTTTTAAAATAATTCTGAGTAAGTCAGTTTCCTGCAGCATCAGAGAGGAGGAAAGATGAACGACTTCACCTCTGTGACCTATGATGAGAGACCAAAGGCAGGCAAGGCTGTCTCATGCTTTATTCCCGAGGGTTCTAATCCTGTGAAATACTGAACTCCACCTACCACGACGTATCGGGAGCTCTCAGCAAAGTGTGGGCTGATGCTTCTCCTGTCTGACCACGTTAGTAGAATCTGTCTTAAGCAGCGATCCCACGAACCATCAAGAATGAGGGTCCCCTGAAGACGTTACTGAGGAATTACACCTCAGAGAACCCACTCATCCTTGGGGAGGTTTTAGAGCGGCCTCTGGTGAGAAACCTTGGTGCAAGCTTCTCTCAGAGGCTAGTATAAGGCTGCAAGGGAGCATGCAGCCCTGCAAGAATGGAAAGGCAGTGGCGTAAGTCACTGCATTGCGGGTGAAATCCTGGCTTCACTGACATCAAAGGCAGAGCTCCCTGTGATTTCAATGGGAGCCAGAATTTCACCCCTATCTTTAAATTCCACCAGATTTTCCCACCTTCTCTGACCCTGGCCACATTTCACTTGGCGTTTCATTCCTGGCCTCTCGCTCTAGCTTGGAAGGAATTAGCCATGTGCCGCAACAAAGCAACTCTGGCTTGTTCAGATGCTTTCAGCCTGGCCAGCCCTGATCACATGGTGGGAGTTCAGTGCTGCTTGTGGTATTAGACAGACAGTGAATAGCAGAAACGCTGTGGGGGAAACCACCAGAGAGTGGCTCTGTACTTTCCCCCTCAAGAGAGATGAGGGACAGTCCCTCCAGCCCCATTCCAACCCACCATTGCATTGGGCTGAAGATGGGCATTTCATTTCTCATGCTGTCTGCTCAGTCAAAAATGGAGCTGGTGCATTGAGTGGGGGAAGAGGGGTTGCTTATAGGAAGAAAGACACTGGGACAAAAAATCCAGAGAGACTGGCCAGCAGGATAACTATGGATTCTGCAGTGACAGACATGGGATGGCTCCTTCCCCACTCTGGCATGATAAATGCAGAAGTGGGGGCCAGCAAGTGTACCCCAAAGCCTTATCTACCAGGCTTTGGTATAAAACTTGCCCCAAAATCTTAAAAACCTAGATCTTGGGAATAAAACTTCCGCTACCACCACCCAAATGTTGATAAAGAAATCAGGGGGAAGATCATTTGGGAAATCTCACCCCTAAGATAAAAATCAAGGCACACAATTAACCACTGCCAGGTTAATAAAAAGAAAAGAAAGAACTTTTATTATTACAACAATATTCCTGTTGCAAACATAATGACTAGATAGGGAGGTAACAAAATATACTCATGGAGAAACTCCATGAGCCTAGAACTTAGTTACAAAGAAAAGCCAAAACATCTTTTAAGCAGTGCCAGATCTCAGATCCCATACCCAACCCTTAAAACAATAAAACCTAACGAAACTACCTAAACTTTACCCTACTTACAGAAAATGAAGAATGGTGTCCTGGAGAGAGAGAGAGAGACATGCTTGTCCCTCTCTGTAGCTGCAGAGAACTCACCCAGAGAGACAAAAGGGAGAAAGGAAAAAAAACCAAATTCCTTTGTCCCAGTTTGAAAGTCCCACCTACATTCCTACTGGTCACTCCACCTGGCTAGGTGTAGTTAACCCTTTAATCCCCAGGCTGCTGGCTAACCCTCATAATCATGACAGACCCACTACCATAATGTCATATGTTAGGGATGCAAGACATCACTAA